TGGAGATTCAAAATAAAATTGTAATAAGATACCTCCAATAGAATGACTAAAATAAAAAAGACTGATAATGCCAAATTTTGAGGAAAATGGGCAGTAACTCAACTCTCATATATTGCTGGTGAAAAAGCAAATTGATAGACCCACTTTGAAAAATACTTTGGCCTTCTCTAGTCAATTTGAGATATATGTACTTTCTAATTCAGCAATTCTATTTCTAGGTATATGTTGTTTTATTGTTACATGCTGTGGAGTCGGTTCCGACTCACAGTGACCCTGTACAGGGTTTCCGAGACTGTAAATCTTTACGGGAGCAGAAAGCCTCATCTTTCTCCCAGGAACAGCTGGAAATTTTGAACTGCTGACCCTGAGGATAGCAGCCCGATCTGTAACCACTACACTACAACAAAAATATCTTGGTGTACAAATCCATCAACAGCTATGCAAATTACTTTCATAGCTGCAATTTTAATAATATTCTTAACTGGAAATTGCTCAAATCTCCATTAACTGTCATCTGAATAATTAAAATATGGTATCTTCAAATATTGATATGATATAAAAGCAATGAAAATGAATTTATCTAAACTCAAAAGTATGAATTTCAGGAACTTCCGGTTTGGGGGTGGGGAAAGCAGAGACAGACAGTGAAAACTCCTCTGCCAAAGCCCCAAAAAAGCAGAGAAAGAGAGGCCTGCAGAAAAACTGCAGAGCTTTGGATCTTGTTTACGTTTCCGGGCACTGGTTTCCCATGACCACTGAGAAGAAATCTGCCTGTGGAAGCAAAATACAGTGATTTCTGAATCGACCCAGTGATGGCGGCTAGCAGCCAGAAGTCCTCAGGCCAGAGGTCAGGGCCACAGCCAAGTGGAGGTAGTGACCCAGCACTAGAAGCCTAGGAGCTGCTTATCTGGAGGGAGAGGTGTGACTGATTTTTCATCTTTCACTACTCATTTTTCACATATCTCTCCTCTTCACCCCAGTCGCACCCTCACTGCACAGCCCGGATGCCTTCAGATGGGTGGGAACACCCCCCCAAAAGGGTCCAGCACTGCACCCACAGTTTCTAAACAGCACAGAGAGGAAACCCACAGGCTGCCTCTTATGACATTCTGATTCTGGGAACCAGCCCCAGAGCTGACCTAGGGAAAGGCCAGTGGGCAGTGTTTATCATAATTTTATTTATTTATTTTTTGATTGGTAGTTTTTGTCTCTGCTTTTATATTGTTTTTGTCTTTGGTCCTTTTGGCCTCACTCCAGGAGTTGGAGCTTTCTCCCCCTACCTTACCCAAGAAGAGACA